TTTCCCTCTTCTTTGAGTCTACATCTTTCCTTCCATTAATGCCCTCTCCTTTTTAACATCACTTTCCTCGTGAGAGGTGGAGAGCTGCTTTAGGCAAACCATGCTCCACTTTAAGGCAGTAAGAGTGGTGCCTTCCAAGCTATTTGTTAAAACATCTAAGACAACAGAAGGGAAAGAAAAGGGAGAGTCGAATATAAACAGACACTGCATTTTGTTATGCTCTAATACCATTATAAGGACTATACAGGAGTGTACAGTGAAGGTGAGATGGCGATTTCTGGCTTCATTCCAATAAGATTTGTTTGAAAGCCATCAGTACTCGTGGAGCCTCACCTGGGGCTTTGAACAACGGGCAGTAATTTGTACAGGTGTACAAACAGCTGGGTAAAACATAGACACTTCACTCTTGTGGCTTCATCTTAGAAATGCAGCTTGAACTAAGCCTGAACTAGAAAACTAATGCAGATTTTGCTTTCAGAACACACCAGGGAAGAATGCTGTGCCCTATTTAAGAGCTGATGCTGAGTTTTCCAGTGCAAGAGTTTTGGGAAAACATTTGAATTTTTCAAGGCTTCACTAAGCTCCGAAATTTTACAGGTTCATTATCACTACAGAGCTCCTGCCTAGCACGTTCAAATCCTAAGAGTGATCTCTTTGGATTTTCTTAACTTTCACTAGATGAGCCATCCTTCTTTATACATGCGAACTTGCATCCCTGATGCTCTTCTCACACAAAGGTTTCTCTTAAAAAAAAAACCCAAACCACCTTGTAACCACTGTACTGTCACACTGATTGCCTGGGCAATGATCTGATGCTTGTGACTGAGTTAAAACACTTGGCATTCAGCCTTTTTCTTCTTCCCTTTCAAGATCTAGGTTATTATTGCCTCATAAAGCAGTGCCTGGGTGGTATTACTAGCTAATTAATGTCCATTTAGTTGAAAGGGCTGCTGCCACCTTCCAGCCCCTATAGGAGTTTTTTCTTCCTCTCCCTGACAGGACCAGATGGGTCGTCACCCACCCTTCACAACCCATGCACTCAATTCAGACAGTGCATCTCGCACCTTTGGAAACACATGCCTATCACAGCTGGACAGATGCTAGAAGAGTGCTTGCTACTGCCCCAAACAATGGGAAAATGAATGACTTCAATTAAAAGATGCAGATTAAACCTCTACCAAGGTATAGCCACCTTTTCATTTTCGTATGCTGTTGTGGGTTTCATTTCGTTTAATTTTCCAGCTCGTCACATAACTGGGTGACAAACATGTAGCTAGGATAAGAAATACAGGGCCAACAATGAATGTTTACAACAGACTATGAGGGAATGACCATCCCCATCTCACTGTATGTTTGATCACAGGATAAATCAGGATGATGAACCCGCTCATGTTCAAAGGAAGAGTCCAATTACATGTTTCAGTGGAGTCAGCCCAGAACACTCAGCTTTTTTCACAATCAAGAACCAGCAGTCCAAGCAATCGTCTTCCCACTGTTTTTTGTGTGCACTGTTCACACTAATTTGATGTTTCTATTAAGCAATAATCTGCCCCAGCTCCTGGTTACTGCACCAAGACGTTGTTTCATGTCCTGCCCACTCCACACATCGGTCACACATCAAAGAGCCATCAAAAAGGGAGCAAAACGTGAAATACCATCAATCAAAAGCCACCTGATAATTAACTAACACGAAGCCCACTTAAAGACAAAAACATAAATACTCTTCTCTCAGAAAAACCCCTGCCTCAAAAACCCTGCATTCAAATTACGCTTTACCCCAGCAGTCTGTGATCAAAAGCAACACCAAACATCATAGTTATTTTTGGATCCCATATTCTCTTCTCTTCTTTCATTGACTGAACTAATTTAAGGGATCTATTTGCATACTTTGTCCTTTTAGCTACACTCCTCACTTCTCAGAAATAATTGCTTCACCTTAAAGAGGTGTTTTTTATATACATATATATATATATGTATATACACACACACATACATATGTGTATATATTGTGATGCCAGAGACACTCTAAGCAGCCTGCAGCCATACTGTCACCAGCTTTGGTCTAACCTGATCCTAACATGTGAGGAGGGTCACTCCTAACCCCTGTTTGGCACAAAAATGATGACGGAGAAGACAGCCCCAGTGGGTTAGCTGACGACGCTTTCTCTCACAGCAAGTGCCCTGTTACTTGCCCTAGTGACAGGCTATAGATGTTGCACTTAGACTTGGAAGTGCTGTGCAGTATTTTGGACTAGATAGAAAACACTGGACACCAATGACTCTTAAAAGATCCATGAGAACTCTGTGTGCAGGAGGAATTGTCCCCTCTATGCTCTGCCATAGTCTTCTTTTGGAATTTTGCTAAAATCCTTTCCGCAAATTTTATTTGAAAAATAATTTCTGAAGGGACAAACCTCTGTAAAGAACCTGTGAGCTACTTCAGCTGCCAAAATACAACAGTGCTTTCTAAGTTTTTCTTTAAAGTGCCAGGTTAGAAAGATTTTTTGGTTGCAAAGTCAAGCACCCAGAAGCTTGGAAATGCCAGAGCTCATGTCATCCAAGCATCATACTCCAGCCACTTTGCACTCAAGGATTTTGACACTTTAATCACATTGTCACCTGCTACTTTCTTCTACCGGACTCTCACCTCAGTGTCTAAGTAGAGACCTACTTGATATCCTTTGGTGTTTTGTACACGCAGTTCACAGAACATAAAATGATTCATTTTCTCCTAAGCATCTCTGACAGAGTCTCCCCATGGTGTCCAAGTTTTTTGTTACCATGAAATTTACCCTCACTGTGCTCCTCTAGGGTAAGGTTGCAATATTATCTGTATTCTGCAGCTGGGCAAATGAGTCAGAAGGAAGGCAGGCACAAACTTTCCATTAATTTTAGTAATACAACCTGAGGCACACAGAAAGCCTATTTCTCAGTTTCCAGCCCTTCACTTTCTTTCAAAGTCTCCTTGTAATGACCTCCCAGGAATCCATTCTACTTCACAGTGGACATGCATAGAATGAGGAGCTCATTGTTACTGACCATTTTGAAAAGTTGGTCGTAAATCTGCATCATTCAGAAATTCTGTCCGGGAAATTGAGAGGAGAAGCCAGTCCTCCAGAGCAGCATTCAACTGACTTAACTGTAATAATACCTTACCTTCTCCACTGCAATCCCCTGCCTCATTTATTATACATCTTCCAGCCTGGCAGCAAATGAGGCAGTGTCTAGGCATACTTCAGAGCTTGCCCACTAGTATAACAAATAATCTGCGTCATCCCAGAACTCCAGATTGTGGAGTGAAACAGCCACAGACCTTCTTCCCCATGCCCCTGTCTCACTCACCTTTTACCTATCTGCACCCCGTGTCCTTCTCCTTTTTGTTACTCCCATTCTGATTTCCCAGACATCTGTATGTCTCCTGTGCTCCTAACTGCCAGCTCCCACCCCCTAACCCTGCTCCCCACGTTCCTGCACATGCTCCCGTTTTGCTTCTACTCCTTTGGCTCTTGCAACCTCTTTTCCCTGTTTCTCCACACTTTTTTCCTGACCCATCTCCACTTGACCACAACTGCTGCTTCCCTGTTCCCCTTGCTACCGGAGATCAGCTGGTGAGCAGCGCATCCCCTCTTCCCTGCGACCAGCATTAGGCACAGAGGGGCAGAACTCTTCCATCAGCATGTGCAGGCAGAAACTTTTGAAAGCAAAGCTCTTGAATATGAGGTGTCTCTAAAGTGCACGAACAACCACCTCAGGAGGGCAAACTAAAAGTGTCTAAGCGTCATTTTTCTCCCATCTTTGCCAGCTCCAAATTCCAGGCCCTGCCATTCCAGTCTGTGGAAAACTAAACCTGAATTCACCATCCTTTATATTGCAAAGAGCGTAAAAACCAGAACTGACTCAGAATCCCTCAGGGTAATGGAAGAAAACCAGGTGAGTGTCTCCCGGCAGTGCTACACAGATCACCCTTTCTTAACATGACATCTGCTTCTCCTGCCAGCAGTTTCCAGTTTGCTGGAAAATTTCCAGTTTGTAGGCACAGGCACACTATGCTATTCACACTGCATCTGCCCTGGGGCTGGACTTGGCAGGCACCTTCCAGCCCCCTTCCACACACGTCCAAGACAGAAAGGCAAACTGAAACAACCACCACATGGTCACTGCTTCTAATTTTTCTATACTAAGTTTCAAAAGCCATCCACAGGGATTCAGATACAGTAGAACTAGAAACCGAAAACAGAAGTGATGTACACAATTATTCATTATGTACTTGGGGGGGGAAACGACCCCAAAACACTAGAATATTGCAAAACCAGCAACAGAGTTTAGACAGGTGCTTCCCATCTAAACTTACAGGGTGATTATGGATCTACTGCTGGTTTTGAAAAGCTAAAGTGAAAGGACCAAAAGCTGAGAACCACTTCTAAAATATGCGAGAAGAATAAGAGATGCTCTGACACAAATCTGAACATGGCAAACAGGATTGTGGTGGTAGAAATCTCTTACAGGGGGAATTACCAACAACAAAACCACTGTTCAGTCATCCTACACGGACAATGGCATCTCTGCTTCAAGATTATACAAAAATTACTGCCTACATCTTTGAAAGTAAGCAGCAATTGTAGAGGTTTCTGCTTTGTCACATCGCATCACAGCTACGTTAAGGGTGAGTGCTTTGGTCTTTCTCATAACCAGTTGCCATGAAGGTTCCCTTAGCTGGAACTTCAGGCATCCAAAATAACACATCTACTTTAGGAAGCTTGGATCTAGGTTTATTAAAAGTGCAGGGTGCCACAGAGAAAAAAAAAAACAAAACCAAAGGCAAAACCATAATAATGGAGAAAGAAGAAGAAACAGAAGGGAAGAGCAAAAGAGAAGAAGCCAAAGGACTTCTGCAATTTCAGCATGTCAGCGTAATTCATAAAGCTTAAAGGAGCACTAGGAGTTGTCTGTGGTGATGGTGACAGCGCGTCATCAAGTAGAGAAATGCAGAGGGCTCTTACTGCAGCATGTGTGTCTGGCTGGCGTCCTTTTGTTTGTCAGGTACCTCGTAGTGCGGGGAAATCTTGCCGAGGCCGCTGTCACTCAGCATCCTCTTTCGAACCGCAGGGTTCCACCGATCTGATATGCTACAGAGGGAAGAAGGAAGAGAAAGGCATTCACCCCGCAGAAATTAGCTCACATGCTCCATTTTGAAACTGTCTTCTGCTTACTGGTTCTCAGCATTTTTCAGCCCACAGCAAGCTAAAAATCACTTAATTCACTATGAGTACAAGAGTGTTCCTAAAGATCAATAGGAACATTTCTGGTCTGCCCAGAAGATGAGAAGAAACAGAGATGCTTCACCATCACTCTTAGGCACAAAGGGCTTCAGGGCCTTATACAGCGGTATCAGAGCCCTGACCGTGCTCGATGGATGCAGATTTATGGGAGGGCAGATACAGTCAGGGGGTGCGAGGAGGTTGAAAGGCACCCAAGTCTGTTAGTCCTGCTGTGTGCTCCAGGATGCCTAATGGAGTAGATGTTCTTCCACTGTCCTTCTGTCATTGGCTGCACCTGATCTTGTCCCCAGCTCCGCACCTAAGATCTGCCCTCTTACATCTCCCAGTCCTTCAGAAAAGGGGACCAGAAAAGAAATGCCCAAGTCCAATACAGCTGCTGAAAGCCAGATCCCAGCACCACTCACCAATAAAAATCTCGTCCTGCGAAATTTCCGTCACAAAGTGCAAATGTTCCTGTCGAAGTGATACAAGGAACGAATAATGAACCTGCAGCATCACTGGTCTCTCAGAGCACCCAGACAGCTACGGGAAAGCTGGGTGCACATCAGGGCCTCCGAAGAGCGTTCATGGGACTCTGTGTGCTTATTTAAGTGCACACACAGTAAAACCCAGGCCACTGAAGTCAACAATAAATACTTCATCGATTTCGAGCCAACCAAGATTCCCAACCATCAAGCTTCACACTCACAGAAACACTTAAAAGGCTGCTACTCAGTGACTCTGTGTCATTCAACTGAAAACTGGAGGTGTACCCAAAAAGCCAAGGTTTGCGTTCCAAAATGAGGACCAAAACCTAAGGTCTGCCTTCCGCTGATGGCTGACAGAAGTTTTCATTGTTTGTGGTTACACTCCCAGACCTCCACTGCTTGTACATCCTGGTTCCACATCTCCGTTACCAAGGCTCTCTTTCTCAGTCCCTCTTTTTTGTTATTGACACTGAAGGCTCATTGTCCTTCAAAAAACCCCAAGTGTGAGTAGGCCTGTCTATGTAGGTGGATGGGCAGGAAACTGCCCACGGTTTGTGCACTGGGACCATCACACAGCATCAATCTTTTCCCCACAGAAACACAGGGCAAAGGAGTAGGAGGGAAAGATACCCATGTGTACTGAGTCAAGTATTAAGGAAATGCAGAATAAGCCAGACTCTGTCTGCCCAGTTTAACCTGTAGCAGCATCTTCTTCACCCTTGATTTCCAAATGTTAAAGTACAACTACATCAAGGCATTTATATGACTCTGTGCAGAGAAGTCCCATGGTGGCTACACGCAGACACTGAACCTGGGACCTCTGAACTAAAGCCACAGCTCTTTCTCCTTGAACTAAACCACCAGCTGCTTTTGCTAGGACACAGTCCTATGTTCATGTGATTCAGAAACAGCTGACAGTTCTCAGGGTGACGAGATACAAATGACCACTGTGTGAAATCAACAGTCTGCACTTCATGCTGAGCCACTCATCGGCCTGTTCTGGCTACAGATCAGAAAGACTAAAAGCTCTGTAAAATTTTCAAAGTGTCTTTTGGAAAATATATTCAGATTGTCAGATCTGTACCACAGGTTTGAATCCAACGGAGCTACATGCTGTTTTGGAGTTCCTTGGGAATATTTGACACAGCTTTGTTCATAATTGTCGATGTGAAACATCACCTTAATTTCCATAGCTATTCCATGTCACACACACAGGATCAAGACTTCCGGTGACTAAAAGCATCAGTGAAAAGATAAACTCAAATACTCTGGTGCCACACGGATGCCCTTAGTAGGACTTGATAAGGACAACAAGTGTAGAAAATGCTCATCTGTACATCAGATTGGTAGTAAACAGAAGGCCAGATGGTCAGCAGATAGAAAACTTCAGTGAAACGATGTGAAATACGTCAACTAAAAAAATGGCCCAGCATTTTTTCCTCTACTTTTCATGAGACGTCAGCAGCATTTTAGAATACACAGGAGGGATGGCAGACAATTCATTTTAAGCTGCATTTGTCATAGCTTGAAAAAAAATTTATAGAAACAGTAACCAAATAAAGATTTACCTGAGATCTGTCAATGCGGTAAAAACGATCAGCAGAAGTTGCTGCAAGACAGAGAAACAACAGAGCTGCAGTGAAGAAAATGGTCTGAGCAGAACTGCACAGACAAGACAGGCTGAGCTAAAACCACTACCACGTAAGACAACCTCTGTGTCAGTGAAGTCACAGCGGTTTCACAAGAATATAATCTGATTCATTCATTACATCCCTATTCCTGTCCCATTAAATGGTGAATATAAAGGTGAGGCTTAACAGAACAATGTACATCAAAACTATTAACTTGAAATAAATATTAAAAAAAAGTCTAAAATGGATTTCAGGCTTATAAGAAGAATAGATTACATTAAAATACGTGACAGAAAAAGCTGCACTGTTCCGATGAAAGTACAGCAAGCATATAATGAAATTGATGGGTCTAATAGGATTAATTCAAATTTTGAGTCTAAAGAACAATAACATGCTTGGGAGCTCTTTGTAAATTAAATGTATGGTCACAGATATTCACCCTGAATTACCAATATGCTCAAGGAAAATTTATGCTATTCATGAAAAACACATTAAAATAGGGGAGATTCACTAAATAAAGCACCAAATGTGAATCTCGTCCCTTCCAAATAATTTGTATTACTAAACCAGAAGTATTTAACAACCTACAATGTACTTCATCAGATGTGATTTTTTTGTTTGTTTCTGCTTTGCATTTAGTTTAGCCAGTGAAATCAGATTTCTTCCTTCTGGTGTTTTGACACAAGAGCACAGTGATGCAGCATTGTAGGTTTTGGCACTGCGAGGGAATATCAAATCCCTAAAGACAAAAACCAGCTGCATTTACCCAGCCAGCGTTCTGCAGAAACCAAAGAGATTCTCAGTATGGGTTTTATCAATTTCCCTCATGAGAGGCAAGGAAGAGCCATTAGAAATTGCCAAGGAGAAATTGTTTTTGTTTAGAACAATACAAATTTCAGTCTCCCTATGCTGAAGCTTTTGCAAAAGCAGATGTCATCCATTCTAGCTCCTAATTCCAGTGCTCTGGAGCCTGATGTAAAGCCCAGAGCAGCCGTCTGCTTTGCCAAAGTCTGGGTCAAATCCAAGTGCAGCTCTCCAGGGAGTCACGTGAAGTGTGGTCGTACAGTGCAAGGGAGGTACATCTCCGTCACCGAAACACTACAGTACCTGAACACTATGGTCCTTAAAGAGCAACCAGAGCGAAGAACGCAGCCCTACCAGCAGCAACGCGTTGCCACAGCCAGCTGCACTCCGAGTTCGGGCAATGCCATGCAGTAAGTGCCGCTCATCACAGCAGAGACACTGATAAACCAAACCTTCAACCACCCTTAGAAAAAACATGGCTTCTTGGTGTGACAAAGCTACAGCAGACATTTTGATTGCTAGATGAAGGGCCTGTTTCATTTTTCAGAGGGAAAAGTAGGGCACCCAGCTCCTTTTTTACCTGCTCAGTGTAACAAGCAGGAACAGTTACCCCTCCACAGTACTATTCGCAGATGCACTACCCAGACATGCACACCAGAAGCAATCAGCATGCTAGGCACAAGAGAAGGGAGATGCACTTACCGTCTAGGAAGCACCATCTAGGAGAGAGCCTCTGAACAGAAAGTACTCTGGGGAAAGAGCTTTCCTGGTCCTGGACAAGGCAGGGAAATAACATAAAAAAATAACAAACTGTTTTTTCTCCAAAAAGGACTATTGTCTAGTCTCTGCTTTTTTTATTTTGCTCTACTGACATTGCACAATGTGCAAAGCCTGGATAACCCAAACCCACTGGGTTTGCTTCTCACTGACATCAGGGTTTGACTGTAATATAGAAAAGAGTAAACTGACACGGTTAGCTTCAGCCACATCCTCAGCTATCCTCTTCCCTTCAGCTTCACAATACCAAAAAGCTTTGCATCAAAACCAGCTTTCTCAGCTCTCTACAGCCCCCCTTATTTGTGGGGACACAGGAACAGAGAGAGGTGAAAGCGGTCAAAGATACACATCAGTATCCAACAACAGCCACGAACTCTAATTACTATGTCTGTTTCCTGTGTGCCCGTCACCTTCCTTTATTCTAGCTCAGTATTTTTACACTCTTTGCCTCCTCTACCGATCTGCCACTCAAAGCAATTGCCCACTTTGCCTGCCTCTGGTGTGTACCAAATGCACATCAGGGTAAAAAAAAAAAACTGTTACCTCTGCACCCCAAATACAGAGAGCGCAGACCTGGGGACCACCATCAGCAAAGCAAACAGCCGTCCTACATCAACATGTTCCCATTCTGGCGAAAAAGGCCCGCTCCTTGAGAGCCAACAGACGTTACTTCAGGAACCAGACCAAATGACTGAGGAGCAACGAAGACCTTCCTGACCTGTACTCCCCAAGGAGTCAAACAGGCCGCCCCTTGCTTTTTCAGCTCTCACTGAGCTGGAGAGGCAAAAGGCCTCAAGCTGCATCAGGGGAGGTGTAGACTGGATATTAGGAAAAATTTCTTTACTGGAAGAGTGGCCAGGCATTGGAACAGGCTGCCCAGGGAGTGGTGGAGTCACCATCCCTGGAGGTGTTCAAAAAACGTGTAGATGTGGCACTTCGGGACACAATTTAGTAGGCATGCTGGTGTTGGGGTGACGGTTGGACTTCACGATCTTAGAGGTCTTCTCCAACCTTAATGATTCTATCATTCTATATTTTCCTCTCTTTTTACTGCCTAGTGTTTATATCATTAAGAAAAACTAGAAGGAATAGATATTTCTCAGCAATTTGTCTTCTGTTTTGCAAATCTGACACATTTCTAAAATACTTATCTGAGTAGCCATGTGTGAAAAAAAGTTATGAAAAAATAAAGAATATATCAACAGAAAAATGGGAGTCTCATCAGTTCAATTACCCAGGCTGCCCAGACGTGTGTCAGTAAGACCACAGGGAAGAAGCAGTTTGTTTTCTTCAACCTGGGGAAAATCTCAGAGAATGCTGAAGGAAGTTGTCATTGCAGCCTGACTGGGTAAAAGAATTTCCAAATTGATTACAGTGCGAACAATGCCCTCATATGTTAAGAGGCAGACACTCGTCTTCGATTTACATAAAGGTATCTGACACGTTTTTATCCACCTGAGGAAAAATGAGGTCATGCTGAGGTTGCTCATACGCGCACAAGTTCTGCGTTTCTGGTCAGCAGGGTGTCTGCATGCACTGCGTGTTGTCTTCCAGCAGCTCTGGTGATGATTCGCATTTTGATGGACACTCCTTTCTCAGCCAGGTGAATGCCTATCAGTGCCTGGCATGATGCTGCTACAAAATGTTATTGATGTCATTTGGTATCATGACAGCTTTTGCAAGATTCATCTTATTAGCTTCTGCTTCTGGGATTGACTGGAACCATTTATTATTGCCTTTCCTTTCTGTTATCCAGGACAGAAAAGCAAAGACGGGTCCAGACAACTCATGTGTTGTCTCCTTAGGGCCCTGGAGTTTGACTTTAGTCCTGGCAACAGATCTTGTCTGAAATGTTACTGCAGCAACTTAGAAACTTCGCTTGACTAAAAAAAATGTATATACATATGTATCTTCTGATGCATGATACCTGCATCTATAGCCACCCTGACAAAAATAAAACAGTCTCAATCTCTCCCATACTCAGCCTCACAGATTTGACTTGATCCCATAAACCTTGCTCTCCTGCACAAGGTTTTGTGTCCAACCTCTGTGCATTACAGGAGAGATGAAGATAACAACAGCATAACATTCCATCAAGTGAACTGCTTCTGCACATGGGAACCGAATGCCACATCTCAGTGGTTTAAGCACCAGATTTAAAACACGCCTATACATTCCTCTAATATGGGCTTAAGGAGTTGTGGGATGCTGAAGCTTGCTTGTATCACAACTAAGGTGTATGTGGGACAGTCACAGGCTTTCTGAAATCCACTGTGTTTGCTAGTGTCTACATACCTACATGCACAAGGCTTTATGTATCTTAATATTTAGCCCACTCTTTGCAGAAAGGTGAGGACTGGGGTACAAAAGACAAAAGGAAGAAAACATCCAAAGATAACAGTGCATACTAAAAATACAAAAGGATGATACAAAGAGGAGACATGAATAAACATTCATAGACCAAGCAAAGCACATCATGCTGGTAAATGTAAATTCAAGCCACAAATTGCATATTGTGATACGCTCTTTCCAAGACTTCATTATAGTTCAACTGCACAGCTCGCTTGGGAAGTCTCAGGCCCATAAGAACACTGTTTTATAAGCATTAAACTCATTAGAGAAACAAAGCAGAATCAAAACAACTCTAGCTTCATTTTTCTTATTTGCACCTGAGCTTGCTGATGTTGTTTCTGCTGACTCCCCATGTTTTGAGCAAGAGAACTGCATTTATGAGACCTAAAAGTACCCATGATACCTTATTAGCGAGGTAAGAACACAGTTCCATCAACTCAAGTACCTTATTCGTGCCCTTTATCCCCTGCTTTTTCCACTTTCTGCAATATGTAGAGGGATACCAATAAACACGGAACAAACCTCAAATTAACCTAACAAGACGGTTCGTGGAACTGACCCGCTGAGAATAAACCAGCGTTTGAAGAACCCAGGATAAACAAGTACTGAGGACAAAGCACAGAGGGGGGGGCATTCCAAATGTCGCATCATAAAAAATTGATAGCATGTTAGGGATTTCACACTGATGTGCACTGGAGGAGGTGGCTAGGCAATTAATTTCTATACTGCTACAACTGCAGAGGTTAGAGCCAAATATGGGGCTGCTTTCCGACATTTCGTACTCTCTTTTGGCCCTCCCCACACACACAGATTTAGATCTTCGTTTTACCTCAGGCAGTTTCCTACACATGGAGCAGTCAGCAGCCACTTAGGTTAATTTATAACGAGTGGAACACAATAACACATGCTGTTTTTTTAGCCAATTTGCTAGACACTAGCACTGCTCTAACACTCAGTTCCAGGGCAATGCTTGATACAAATACCAAAAGTATGAGGTTAAAATTGGGCAGCGAAATGCAGAAACAAACCATGAAGTGGAATGAAGGCAGCAACTCCAGGAAAACATGCCAAACTGCATTTTCTCATAGTGTCTTCTTGCATTCAGCGCATTTACAGGCCTTCCTGCAAAACTGGAATTCTGTACCACCCAGGTAATCGTTAAGCCCCAAGAAATTATCTACAATTTCAAAGCCTTACGTCGTGAAATCTAGGAAAAGGCTACCAACACTGTGCAAGCTCGTCCTGTGACCCTAGACGCGGTATCCACTGACCCACTGTTTGTGTCCAGTCTCTGCGCTAAGGTCGTATCAGCTCCGGAGTCGGCGGAGTGAGTCTGAGTTATTTATTTCCAGCTTAAGCACTGTGCAATGCAATATTTTACTGAGAGAAACACGCATTCTTGCATGCTACTTCCAACTGTAAAGGCAAGTTCTATACTGAATAATTTCCACAATAAACTTGTAAAATGCACAGGGAGCGCAACTTTAAAAACTAGCCACCTAAAACTTGAACCTGTTTGTCACATGCAAAAGACACATTTGTGCCCCAGATGGATTAAAAAACTGCTCTGCAGGTTATGTTAAACTAGAGGTAGACGACTGCGGTGCACAGAATTATGAAGCGGTTAGGCCTGCTAGCACACTTTTTTTCTCAGTGATAGACTTTAATACTACAGCTATGCAATATAACATGTTATTCTTCAGTTTCTCAGACAGAGAAACAATTTTACTGTCGCCCTTTGTCATACAGGACACTTTCTCTTATTCTGTTCCATATGCAAGGCACTACTATTGCAATACCGCTCACATCATCATGCTGTGCTAATATTAAAGATGATTCCATGAGGTCTGCAAGGAAAAGGACTGCCCCAGGGAAAGCAGAATGAACCTCCAACACTTGAGGCTAAATGATAACCAGAAATTCATCTAAGATACGGGTATCTAATTAACACAAAACCTAGGTTCAAATGTAAAAAGTGCAGTCCACATTGTTAAGCCTCTTTTTGTTCTGACACTACAAGGAAAGCCGATCTTACCTGGTAATGAACTCTCTGTGTAGTAGAGGTTACCGACTGCAGGTCCTAGTAGGAGGATGAAAGACATGCCGATGATGAAAAAAATTAAAGCAACAAGAGTTGTTCGCAGTTCTACTCTCTGAAGCGACTGGGCAAACTCAAATAATTTTGCAAGTATTTCTCGCTGGTTTTACGTGCACTAAACAGACACCACAGACTAGTCATGGAAAGCTCACTCAAAATTTAGATTTACATGCATTTGGTCAAAAAAAGGGTTTTTAAAATACAGAGATTATGTTAATGGATCTTTACCATATCACAGTCCTATTTGTTCCATGAAAATTATGTAGATTGAGAATATCAGCAATAAAATGAAACAAAAGATGCTAACATCCATAAAACCTTTTTGCAAATATTTCTGAATAATTAACGCACTAACAAAAACCACTGGCAGTTCTCTCTGTTTTACGATGGCCTTATATCAGGAAGGTCATATTAGAATGACCCTAGTATTTAGCAGGGTTCAGGAATCTAATTTATTTTAATAGAGATATTGTCAAATAGTTTTAGCTGATGACTTAGCCTTCCAAAAAGCCTGGCCTACAGACCATAGCTCCCCAGCTGGCATGCAGGTTGGCAGAGTGCAGAAAGCCTTGGCACCTCCATTCCCAGCAAAAGGGTCTGAGCCAAATCAAGCACACACACACAAAAAAGTAGCACAAATCCTGAAAAAGGTTGGAGAAATACAGTTCCCACAACCACTGTAATTCACCCAGAACTTCTAGCTGTGCTTCCTCCAGGGCTGCAGAACTACTCGCCACCCAACATTAGCCACATTAAGTTGCCTGAGTTCAGTCTGAGATCAATTTGTAATCTGCTGAGAACATCATCACAATTATTTCAATTGTAATTTTCCATCACCAGACACCTCAAATATGCATCACCTTACAATAAGGTTTTACGTCCGATAATAATAGCCACACCTCAGGTCTGAATGTTCAGAAATGCATTTGGTGAAGGGAATCCTGGCTGAAACGCAAAAAAGTGACAGCGTGTAGTGAGATACTAAGGCCCATATTCAGGCTGCGAGTGCAGAGTTTCAAAACCGCAGGGAAGTCAGCGGCTCCCAAAAAGTTCAGTGGGAGGGGTGAGGTTCATAGCTCCTGTGTAAGTTGGTCCACCTATTTAGAAACCTATGTAAGCCACTCACACTTGTAAATGTTGTTGAAAGACATCAGTAGAAGATTAAAAACAGTCAGAGATGGTACATTAATGAAAATCCATTAGTTTTACCACTAAATGCATACACACATAAAATTACTCAGGTAATGTGGCATTTGGAGTCTCCATGTCCCAGACTGTATTGTAGAACGAACTCTCGTGAGGCAAGGTGTTCAAGAATTTAAGAGAAACATTATTAATAGCTGCATAAGCACACATTTCTGTGTATTTGGAAATATCTAGTTGATATTTGTAGTGTTTATTGGTGTCTCAGGTTACTCCATGACAGTATCAGAGAATGATATTTGCATAATTAGACCCACTTGAATATCATGATGTTTACCCTTACATAACAGACCTTCTAATCACCAATTTGTGTAATTTCAGCAAGGTACGTGGAGATTCCTGGTATTCCACTCCAATTCAAAGAGCAGGAAACACATCCATCCATGTCAATTCTGTTATCATTTAAAAGCAGTCAGTAGGACATTTCATTTCCTGTTTGGAAAATATTTTTCAGCGCTACTCCTGCTTTTTTTTATCATAGCATAACTCTGAAGTTTTGTTTTCAGTGGCAGGCAATCTGCAACGCTCTTAGTATATGGTTGTTGCAAATATTAGACCTCAGCCCTCAGAAATGAAAGAAGCATCACCTACATTACTATGACACCTGAATTCACAAAAACCTCACCTCTTGTAGACGGTCAATGTACATACGACAGGTCTCCAAGTCACAATCTCCTCGTACAACGATAATTCCTAGGGGAATGGCTGGAAAATAAAAAATAAAGATAAACCTCTTCATCTGAATTCTCTTGAACTTTAAAAGATTTGCAATATGCTACAGGTTTGGGCTTTTTTTGCAACATCCTCGCAAAAGCTTTCCGCTATCAAAATCTTAAGCATCATTTAAAAGCAAGAACATATCATTCATGATCAGTTTCACGCATTTATAATTATCAAAGATTCTGGTTTTCGACTGTCTTTCGTACTGAAGAAGCTGAACTGGATTCAGTTAAAATGTGTACTTCATCATCTGATGTCAACATCAATTATTAACTGCAAAGAAAGGAACATAACCCAGAACAAGAGTTTATGGAGGTGCTCTTATACATTGAAATAAGAAAGTGATATTTTGAGATTTCATTTTCAGAACCCTTAAAAGTCTATAACAATGATTTAATGTAATGAAAGACACAGCCTGAAGTCACAGCCTGATTCCAGAGGAAACTGTCCAGCACCATGTTATTTTGATATAAGGCTGCTTTCAAATCAATCCAGACATTATTCCATCTACACACAAATTTCACACATCTCCATATTTTCTCAGAGAAAAAAAGAGAACTTTTAAAAATACAGCAAATAATTCCCCTCAGCTGACAGCAGCATTTTTAATAGCAGGGGAATTAACTTTCCACAACCACTCTGTTCTGGCAGCCAAAAAAACCCCAAAACAAACCCACAAAAAAGAAAAAAAAAAAGTATACACGAGACCACATGGAAGGTACCAAGAGAGCCACCTACTAAGATCTCATTAAACAAAAAGAAAACAAGTGAAAACTCTTGTGTACCTGATTTTCTAAAACTGAATCACTGAATAATGAAGTTCTTTTTTCTACCCGGAGTGTCTTTAATCAAGCAATGGCCCAAAAAATTAGGGGAGCAGCAGGAAAGAGATTTAAATCCTCATATGAAGTCTTCCAGAATGAGAGCAGAAAATCAAGTCCTAAACCATTTTGGTAACTGAATAACAAGAAGCAGCATAAAGTCATGGACAGTTCTAAGATAAATAGAAAAAAACACCTGTGCTACAGCCCCTCCTGCCATTCAAAAGCAGCTGATTAAGAGGGAGAGATGTTTACCTGCTGAGAAGCTCTTTGTGCTTATAAAAGAACAAGACAGCGCTAGAAGATAAAGAGGAACACAGCTCCTATTTTTGTGGCCCACCGAGGCCAGAAGCACAAAGTGAAGCTCAGTGGTCTCAAGGAGGAGAGCAGGGGAGCACCCATGCCAGTCCAGGTCGTTACGAGCCTCAGAGGCCAGCACAGAGCTCTTGGGACACATCAACAACGCTTGCCAGCATCGCGTTTGAAAGCAATTTGAATGGCAGAACAGATACAAACCCAGAAAACCAGAAGCAAGGAAAAAAAGCTGGAGGGAGAAACAAGAAAATGAAGAAGGGATAGGTGGGAAGACCAGGGATGAAGGGAAGAGCTTGCACTTCTCCTGAAGCAGCACTGACGTCCAGTAACGATGACAATCTACCTGCTCATTTGCAGAAAGGCCAGAAGGGAACAGTGCTCATTGCAGCCTCCCACATTTTTTCCTGACGGAACAGAGACAGAGACAAGCGAGTGGAACGAGGGTCAATCACAAGGCTTGCTGTATACTATCTGATGCTTTGGGTGCCAGACTGATTCTCTTTGCTTAGTGTTTATTCTTGCTTAACCTGCTCTGACAGGATACCCTCAAGCTCTTTGTAGGCAGTACTTAATGGCTAGCTAGTTTCAATTCAGCAGATCCCTCTACAGCCCTTACTGAAAGAAGCATTTGTTAAACTTATTTATAGCACTAAAAAGTGAATTGCAGGAGACATGACTACACCTCCAACAATTACAGAGCACTAGGGAGCTGCACCACTGGCTCATAAATTGTCACCACCGACTTTGTCTCTTTCCTGTTGAATTCCTTCCTTCATGTAGAAGTATATGGACTTAATGGGGACTAGAGCTTTGACGTGCTGAACCAACGCAGCTAAAACACAGAACCAAAATCCGTAACTATCATCGTTTCTAACAGCCCAAAGGAGAAGAACTTAATGAACATCTGGAATTCTAAAGAAATCCACCAAAATGTCTGAAAACACTAATATGCAATAGATAGTTTAGTGGTGACATTTATGGGCCTCATCTACAAGAGTGAAGAAGAACGTCATGATTCACTGGTTTAAATTACATCCCACCTATTCTTGGTGGTCATAGAACAATTCTGGAATTCTGGGCTGGGTGACTTTGTTCTTAAAAAGAGATGTGTGACTTTCGCTGACAGGAAATCCTGAATTAGCACAACCTGTGGCTTTAGGGGTCAATGGCTATCTAAGGGATAATGTGCACGAGGTGGGTCTCAAATGGTTCCACTCCGTATGGTTCATGCTCATTTGAAACACCTTAAGTCATTACAGAATAACACTACAGTACATGCTAAAATATTGCTTGCCAAAGGTTTTTTTGTTTGGATCTTTTTGTGGGGTTTTCTGGTTTTTTGCAAGACCCATTTGGCTTTCAGCAAGGAAAACGTTCCCAGCCCTCATTTTTATCACAAACCACAGCAAGTATGCACAATGCACCATGCAGCCAAGATTTTCAAAGTGCTGTACAATAGCTGCTGTTTGAAAACAAAAGCAAATCTTTAAGGATTGATAATGGGATTGAAATTATGGGATTGTTGCTCATTCTAAGTATAGGGCAATGCTGTGCAACAGGGGTAAAATGAGATAAGTTATGATGAATCAGTTAAAGGCATAAAGTTAACATGCATGGCATTCGGTGTCATTGTGGGCACTTGCTTTCAGGAGTAAATGAACGTCTACCTTCTCTGAATAGCCCTGCGTGGATGAGGATGTGGATGTGGACAGTATGGAACAGTGCTGTAGGACACGGGGATTACGAGATACGCCAGGTGAGAGACAGGAGGACAAAGTCTTACATTAAGAGCACAGGCACTGCAGAGCAACTTTCCTGTGTACCCATACACTGTCCACACCTGTGAATACGTGAATATATCGACATATGGGAATATGCCAAAAATAAGGGACGGTCTCAGTTCATGAGCCAAGCAACAGCATTCAAGTGCCAAATATTTTTCTCCCGAGGGGCCTGCTCTTCTGGCTCCTTGCATCCAGCTCCCAGTTTCTTTGTGCTCCCTGAATGGTGAAAAGGACTTTGTCCAGGGAGCTCTGGGTACAGACTCTAACACTGCAGTGATGAGCAGCAGTGAAAGAACCCCAGGAGATGAGACAGGCAGACAGTTGCTTCATTTTCTGAACCAGTACTGTGGAGAGCTTTTTGTTCCCAGTAACACTAACCAAAACTGAGTTTTGGAGAGGGTAGGAGGAGAGCGGGGTAGATGCAGCAGTGGGGCTAGCACAACGCTCTAATCGACTGCAGGTTAGTAGTGATTTCTTAAGTCCTCAAGAAATTGGCTATGGAATTTATAAACAAAGAAGATATCTTCCACCTATTAGCTGCCGATTATGCTGAATACCTAAAGCTAGTGAACTCTTTAATTGTACTGAAAACACAAATGGAAGAAGCCTCAATATACTGCATATGACAACATGAAGAAAAATTAAAATTCAATTAACTTCCTCATTTATTGTTATAAAAGGATTCAGTCTGTGATCTAAACACCATGATTAGCCTACTCAAATCCCAAACAAAACAGCCTCCAGATAGATCATTAAGGTAGATGTGAATGCCAGGAAAACTCCTTCTGAGTCTGACATACCTCAGGGGGCTGGGGAGATTAGACTCTTGGTTGTAAATGTTTAATGTAGCAAATAAAGGATCCTCACTACTGAAGATGTTATAAGAATGTCCTTTTCCTGAGGGGTTTCCACTGATATTAAAAATGCGAAGGACCAAGTAAATTCTTGGGAGAGAATTCTAAAATATTCAGACATTTATACTAAGAGGTTTAGCTTTTGCAATATGGTTTTAATACAACTGAGTTTGTACAAAAGTATTTTCCTTCCCCACAAATCTGAGCCATGTGACTCCTCAGATCCCTTTTGTTTATTATACTGACAAAAATTAAGCCTCCTTAGGTTCACTGGTTGCTAGTTTTCTTGGCACCAGTGGTCCAATTTTAAAAACTTCATGTTAGGAGGTAAAACACAATGGAAATTATCAGACTAAACCAGACCACATTTGAGAAGGTAGTCATCCCCTCCGGGCCCTCAGTGACTTCTCCAATACCGTGCCACAAAAATGAAGAAGCTGCCCAAGTCCAATGAGGAGAAAACTTGTCCCCAACACCACACAAAAGGAAACAGGTTATACAAAGAAAACTATAGAGAATCAAGAAAAGGAACAAGAAGCTGAGCTGTGAGATCTGCAGAAACGGACAAAGACAGGCAGGAAGGATGTGTGCGGGATGGGGTAGCCAAAGGGGACAACCACGACTGAAAAGGTAAGAGGGCATCAAATCAGAAAAGCAATAGGAAAGGAAACAGGAGAAGTAGAACATGCATAGGAAAATATGACAGAAAAGTCCACACCAGAAAGATGAACTACAGCATGATTTCCTGGAAAGTTTGAAATGGAACTCAACATTCCTGTGTCTCCCCACTCCTCCAGGGCAATTATGTATTGACATCTATTTGAAATGCTGTCCATCTCTTCTAGTTTAAAGCAGATGGCAAACCAGAAGACTGTGTTGAATATGGATATGCCCCACGTGGAGTCAAGAGAGGGTAGATTCAGATTAGATACATGGAAGAAATTCTTCACAATGAGGGTGATGAGACACTGAAACAGGTTGCCCAGAGAAGTTGTAAATGCCCCATCCCGGCAAGTGTTCAGGGTCAGGAGCTTTGAGCAACCCAACATAATGGAAGATGTCTCTGCCTATGGCAGGGTGGGTTGAACAAGATGATCTTAAATGATCCTTCCAACACAAAACACTCTATGATTCTATAACTCAATGATACGAGATTTCAATGTTTTGGATTTACTCCTTCTTCCCAACCCAGGCAATGACATACAGTGTTA